TCTGGCTGCAATGCTGAGCCTGCACTCATGCTCATACTTCAACAAATGAGTGGACGTACTGCTTGTAGACTTTAGACGACAGGTTCGCACAGTATGCTGTTCATCTTCTGAGTGAGCGCATTTAATCAGCGGCATGATGCGGCATGGATGAGCATGTCACATCGCAGGTCCAAGGCCTCACAGCATGATGTTTGGCCTAAAGTGCGCCCCACCGACGTCCGTCTCTAGCAGATTTTTCTCCGAAGGAATTCATCTGCCCGGCAGTTGGAGGTTGTTTCAGCTCAGGGCGCAAGGCCTCTCAGACTAGTTCTCGACGACCGTGTTCGGTGCTGTTGGCTTTTGAAGCTGAGGGTTCATCTCACCCGCCTCTGCCAAAGGTGCACGATGAGGCTGAGCTGGGGTTTGAACTGGCCCTTTCGTGATCACTACTCGGTCCTGAAGCCGTCGATTGCGCAGAGCACTCGGAGGTTCAAGTCCCAGGGCTGCTGCAAGCTTGGTGGCCATTGCGAATCTGAGTCTATTTCAAGTCTGGGATCTATGAGCACCTTCCAAGCAGCTGGCCCTTGGCTGTGATGAGCCGAAAAAGAACACCTCGAGCAGTGCCTCGCCTTCCCTCAGGGCAAAGGCAAGTGGGGCATCCCCGTGCTGAATCCTGCTTTTGCGACTTATTACCAAGTCTGGTGGAGATCAAGCCAGCGCTTGTTCAGGTGACATTGCAAAAACCTGACTCCCGTGGTAGCATCTCTCAAAAACAACTTGCCCAGTTGCGCCGTGCAAGTCAGGCTTTGGGGGCTCTCGCTTGGCAGTGCAAACATCCCCTGTTCTTATTCTTGATATGAGCGCAAGAGTATCAGGCAGCCTATAAACATGCGACAATGCATACGAGTCAAAGGCCCCGATATATGCATCACTTGCGGTCTGCCGCTTTTCATCTCTTGATAGGATGATCGGTGGCACCATTGCCCCCTATTTAGGTTCCTTGGGTAGTCACTTGAGTGCAAACGAGTTCGACAGCAGATGTGTGACTCACCGCTGCTTTCCAACATGGGAAGTTGGCATCCCCCCGAGGGCACACGAGGCTGTCCCCCCTAAGCGGATCAGAAATCCAGGGTCGGGCTGGGAGGGGAAAATGTTGGGCTTTGACCCTTGATGCTGCGTGGCCTGAGCCCGGCAAGCATTCGTACGGGTGGTGGCATGACACAGCCACGGTTCGTCTCAAGGCCCTGGTACTGTAATCTGTTCCAGAAACTCTGAATTCCAGCTAGTGTCAGATAGCAAGATCTAAATCATGGAAAAGCTACATCATGTGCCATAGACGTTGAAAGTAAACTGAAAGACAACATGAATAGGGTGCGCTTCCAGTTAGATGACTCAAGAAAAACACGACATAACTCTTTAAACAACCCCGCAAAGTTTGCCGCAATTCTGGAAACTGAAGAAACAATGCATCCCCACGCAAGCGGGCAGTCAGGGACTGCCTTCCAAGCCCACATTTCAAACACAAGCCTGTCCCATCGCCTTTGACGAAGTCACCACCCTGGATCATGAAGTCCTGGCAGAACAAAAAGGACAAGATGCAGCGAGACCAACTTTGATCTCCAGCATGTTGGTGTTTTTCTGACTGCGACACAATTTGTCGCTGTTCTGAACACAAAGCCTTTTTAGAATCTACTTGCAAAGAGATTTCGTACCGCCAACAGACCACTACAGCACGGTGTGCGCTGAAGGCTGTACTATCCTTGATGATGCGGTGGAAGGTACAGTTCTTGTAGCCAATCGGAACCTGTCACGTGCTAGGACCAGATGCACGGCTTTCAACTGAAGATTGCGGTAGTGGCATGCCTTGTTCAGCTTGAACTCACCAGTGCATAGCTGTCGGAAGTTCTCGGCCGTCTTGGGAACCTACACAAGTTGCGCAATAAGGGGTACCAGAGCTTCTGCAGCTTCGAACTCTGAAAGCTTCCGGCCACATCTCGAAAGAGCTCCATCTTGATGCGGCCCACAGGATGACCTCATCAACCGCAAGACGGCAAGGAGCAACCGAAAATGTGCAAAGCAATGTGCCAAGCAGGCCTCCGATGGAGATGTCAAAGAACACCACGGGGTTGTCCGGATGCCTACAGGACTTACTGCAGCAACTGCAGCGCAGATAATGCATCGCATCTCACCACCAGTTGTGCAGCCAAGCACCGTCTGCAGGCACCGACTTGCAACCCAGTTCGATGCTAGCAGAGATGCTCATTGTTGTGAAAGAGCTGGTTCACATCCAACTGTTGAATTCGGACGCTGCGGCATGACACAAGCATGGCCCTTTGGCCTTTGTGGCCTATTCTCAGACATCTGGCCGGCCATCCTGCAGAGGGAGAGCTGGTGACAGCAGGGATTGGAATCTCGTGGACCGGCGCCCCCTTGCCTGCAGCACCAGCCAGGGCTCCCTTCGCCACCGCTACGCAGGCTTATCGAGCCCGTCTGCAGGACCGCTTGACTTGATGCTGTCAGAGCGGAAGCTCCAATTTGAGAAAGGCAGGACCTCACTGCGGTGCTAGGAACATCGGGCACCAGACCTTCACGCTGGACCGGTCTTTGAATTGGATGCTACATTTCACAACGAACACACACGAACACCCTGATGGCCCATCTGACAATGAGTACCCCGATGGCCCCAGAGCCTGCCCTCTGCAAGAGCCTGCCCCAATGTTTGGCGGTTTGGCGAGTAATGCGAGTGGCAGGGCTGGAGGTGCCATTTCAGCACTCCGTCCATGTGAAACAAGGTGCATGCAATGTAGTCTGACGCTTGCGCGCGTCGAGGACACCGACCACCCTTGAATAAACAAGCCTTGCTGTGGAATCTTCTTGGCGTGTTAAGTCTTAAGATAAGAAGTTTCACATCCTACCGTGACTCCAGGCTCGCATAATTCTTTAGTTCTGATTCTTTGGCACGCCAGAAAGTCCGCAAGCCTTTGCAGTCGTCACTTCTCAGCGGAACTGAAGAGCATCCTTTGCCTTCTGGAGGAAGATGGTTTCATCCTGAGCAGACTGACAGGAAGGCCGCATGTCTCACGAATGATCTGACAGTCTGAGATCCTCACAATTTCTGGAGGCAGTTCGATTGCCTGGAAGCTTTGTGGATGACTTCTGGTTTTTTGCGATCTTTCATGACATGCAGATTTTGGGTCAAATGGAGGTCTGCTTGATGGGCTTGGCAGGAAAATAGGCAGGGCACGAGGCGCGCATCCCTGCAATGGGCTTTGTAGCATTGTAGCGTGGCTCCAGCTAGCTGTGTCTTTATGATGATTATACAATACAAAAACAAAATGTGTGTGAGGCGGCCACGACTTCTAGATTTTTTCAGGTCTCTTCATCACTCGCATCTCGTTCTGAACTAGACTGCAGCGACGGCTACTTGCAATTTTGACTGGAGATGAGAGGAGATTTGCCGCAGATTTGCAAAAAGTGGTCCCTCTCTTTTGTGTTGTTCTTCCTCTTCTTGTTGATGGGCTTCCACGCAATCTCCGCCTCTGCTTGCTGCGTCCACGTCTCTTTCTTTCAGATGCAAGTACTTGATTTCGTTCTTCGGTCCTTTCGTTTATTCCTCCTTTGTTGGCTGTTTAGTCTTCCGCTCTTGCGCTCTTTCTTTCTGTGTTTCTTTCTTTCTTCATGCTTCTGTTTCTGTTTTGTTCTTTTTTCTTTAATTTGCGGTTGTGCAACGCACAACTGTGCTTATGTACACATCTTGGAGTCGCTGGCAGGATCGGAAGGCATGCATCCTATCTTATTGTGAAACTGTCCCACCGCCTCGACATCTTCCTTCTGTTTCTGGGAATTTGCCAGGGACAACAGCGCTTTTCTTGCCTCAGATCTAGGTGAATCCAATCTCTGGAAACAGCAAGGCGCCAAAATCTCAGCCATCGGCTTGGACCTCACTGATCACACCCATCTGCATGAGATCTGCAAGGTTGAAGACAGCTTTGATCTCGGCATCCTGAACTAACTGTCCATTTGCAATCCCCGCGCCGACTAAACAGACACCCGCCCTGACAACTGAACTTCTGGGACCAACGAGTGCAACGCTTGACTCTTCCGGATGCTCCTCAAAGTTACCTGCTGACGCACCCTCGCGCTCACGCAGCTGAAGTTCCTTGCCGCCAAGTCAGAAGGAGGAAGAATTTTACTGCACAAATCCAGTTTTACCCGTGGTCTTTCAGCTTAGAGCTTTACCCTGCAGGCCTGCAGAAGGAAGCCGCGCACGTCTCCAGGCTTATGGAAGCAGACGGAGGCGCACAAGTCCTCCACAGCACAGAAACAAGTTCTTTTTGATGTAATGAAGCCCACTTCCCGTTATCAATCCAAATGCTGTGCCCAACATGCCAAGGACAGCACACTGAAGAGTTCGAGGATGCGGTGCCTCGGGCTTCCCCCTACCCCATGAATCCAAAAGCCAGACAAGATTCTCGCCTACATTTCCGTGCAACCTGAGTGCGGAGCTTTTGTAGGTACTCGTCCGCTTTCTGAAACTCCTCGCCCATGTTCCTGCTGGCACCAGGATGTCAAGACTGCAGCTCAGTAGGCTGAACAGCGCTAGGTTGCTGATGATTGGGCGTTGGCTTCGATTCAAATCCCACTCTCATTGTGGGCACCATCCCCGTTCAGCGTCGAAGCGAGCTACGGATTGGATGGTGGATTGGCCAATTGGACAGCAGGCCTCACTTGCCACCAGCGACAGCTTGTATCTGGGCAGGCCTTGTATCAGCCTATGCAACTGCAATCTTGAGCAGGGCGAGTTGCAAGCCAAACCCCTCCACGTTCTGGTGCAATCCAACAGCTGGCATGGAATCTTTGTGTCGGACATGTTACAAGTCACTGCGTATTTGCGTGGGAGAGTCGATATGGTGATAGCGATGCTGCATGTCCGCTGCATTTTTGCCTGTGCAGTTAGGGCCAGGGTCTGCCGCAATTTTGGTATGGATGGCAAAGGACTCGGGTGCATTTGCCTTCTACACATCTGGCAACGACTCGCTTCTCAGTAATTCATGATGCAACATGTTTTCCTGAATAGTGTGCAAGTCGTAGCCCACCTGTGTCTGCATGCGCTCGTGAGCGCTACACACAACCACTCAAGTTGGGAGCTAAAAACCTGAACCTATGGTTGCCATCAGGAGGCGCTTGAAAAGGCACTGCCCTCTGGCAACACTTCAGAAGCAAATGCGGTGTGAATCCACCTCTGTGAAACATGTGATGGTGCAGTTATTCGTTCACTCCAAGTGGTCACCTATGCCCGCAAAGCGCACAACAATTGCTGGCGTGCTGACGGTGGACGCTAAACGGCTAGCATGTCAGAGTGCATCTCAAATCAAATCAGGTGCATGCTCACATTATGGTAAGAGAAGCGTAACCAGACGAAGATTGCACGGAGTCCAACCCCATGCTGCGGCTGGCATTCAAACAAGCGACGAACTATGCAAACAGTCAGGCCCTTCGCATGAGCGACGCAGAAAGGAGGAATGCTACCTCAGGTTGACAGCACGTGAGCTAGTGGAACTCTTCCACAAACAAGATCTTGGCTCCCTGCCATTCCCGCCCACACCGGGACCCAGGAAAAGCATAGAAGCACCCTCAGCCTGATCAAGTTGCCCCATCTGCGATCTCAGTCGTCCACTGACAAGCACCCCAAGTTGCATGCTTGCAGGCTTCCTTGTCGAGCCCTGGCATTTTCCTTGTGTCCACTGCATTCGGAACAAAGAGAATGCATCTGGAGCTTCTGCAACGCTGCTGTATGGGACCACAACAACTGGTCGACGCGATCCCAGCAGCTTCATAGAAGCCCTGAGATGCCCATGAGACACGCCTTTGTGCGTCAATGAAATAAACATAGACTTCAGAACTTGGAGGCTACAGCTTGTGGGGAGACCAAAAGATGGCACAAAAGCACGTTGCACAAGCCGGGGCTGTTTATTGAGGTTCGGTCTGCTTGCCCAGGGTTGTCCAATGACAGGCAGACAGGAACTTCCGTACTGATCGTACGATGCTTGATGTCCGCAGTGCGGCACGCTGCACAGCAGGCTGCATTTGGACTAACACATTCCAAGACTGCCTTTCAACAGTAACCGTCACAAATTAAACTCTTTCCTGCTGCCACAAGGGCCTAGAGGATCAGCTCAGGGGCGTGGGCCACTGTGGGAGCCAGCATGCGTATTGCAAGCAGGCCCGTTATGACTCTGATCTCTTGGCAAGAGCAGCGGAAAGACAAAGCGAGGAGGTGCTGGGAAAAGCTGTCGCGGACGTTCAGACCTCTGAGCCTCTAAGCACTGCAGTTGGCAGCACAAACTTTGACATCTTCAACTTCTTGATGCCTAAACAAAAAAAAGATTGCCTAACCAAGGTTGAGAGGTTTAGAGATGCCTTAACAGCCGCAGCACCATCCCTGATTTGACATTAACTTTGCCTCCTTCTGAGGCCTCTCAGAATCGACTGCGGCCTTTTCGCTCGGCTCAAGCCGGAAGGCTCACAGCAACGTCCTTAGCGCTCTTCTCGCTGTTGCTCGACTGGGAGGGCTCCATCTCCGTCTCCTGAATGGTGGGCCGTGGAGCTGTCGGTGGTCCAACGACCACCCGCAGTGCCAGCCGCTTCTGTCGAAGACCAGACGGGGGCTCTAGGCCCAAGGCCGCTGTAAGCCGCGAGGTTCTATCCATGTTTCAGGTCCCTTGCCGCGGTGTCTGGGAGGCTGTTGTGCTTGAGGCTTCAGCGGCATAGCTTCTCTCTGACGCAAAGGGTTTGTAAGCTGGGCAAACATGTGTCAATGCTATCCGAAACTGCAGGCAGTCGGCCCAGCGCCTTGCAAGCCGCAAGGATGCCGGCTTTGACATCACCAGAAGGCTGGGTCACCTTGCCAGGACTAAGCTAAGTAGACTCAGGCTTGGCACTGCCGTTTGAAGTCCATTTGATGTCCGCCTTTTGCCATTTTTCCGGGACCTGGGGAGGGTTGTAGCCGAGCTGGGCTTCCAGACAGTCTGGAAACCTTGCAGGGGTGCCCTCCCAGAGATCAAGGGAGGGGGATTCAGCGAGGTCATGACTACTTGCTGCCAAGTCTGGGACAATTCTGACAAATCACCACCTTCTCCAAAAAGCTGGGGTTTGTGTATTTTGTTCGATACAAATCGGTGACGCAAATAGAGATTGCATGGGGATCATGTTGCGCCATTCTCCAGAGCTTCAGCTTGTCTAGTCCAAGATGATACAAATCCAACCGCCCAAATCAATCACTTTGGTGCTTTACGTTGCTTTGCACAGGAAGGGTCAAAACCCTTGGGCCCAAAGGCCCCCGTGCGTCTGCAGTTCGGTTCATTGTATGTGATATTTTTTTGGACGAGGAAAAATACATTAATGTCCTTCAAACTGTCATGCCAGCAGCCTTTGTTTCCCCCCACTGGGACTACACTTTGACCCTCTCGTCCTTGCGTGTCAACGCCCGTAATTTTCCCGCACCCTACTCAAAGACCACTGAACAAGAGCCACGCCACACTAACATCAAACTGTGATATAGAACCCTTCGTGTGGGCTTCTACTCCGTGCATAAAATGTTCATAAAGCAAACTTGGTCGAGTCCCGACAAGCAACAAGCCACAGGCAACGAGTTCAGAGTACAGGCTGAAGGAGATAAGATGTGAGCTATAGTCTGAACTCCTAGCATCCCCCTAGTAGCCCGTATAATGCTTCCCACTATAACCCCTATATAACCACCCCCTCCCCCGCGTTGGAGAGTTTAGACCCTAAACCCAATCCCTAAACCCTAAACCCTGAAACCGAAACCCTAAACAATCCCTCATAAAATCCTCTCTAAAGAGTTCAGACTATAGCTCACGTAGGTTCCCAGCCAAGTTGTCTGAAGGTGTCCATCTCGGCTTTTACATTTACGTGACCTATAGCATCCCCCGTAGTAGCCCCTGTGGTAATGCCCATATATAACCCCTTAAACAACCCTCTGTGCTCAACACGACTGCCTTGTAATCAACGGAGATCTCTTTTCCCATTTTCTGCATCTCCTCTTCGGCAGCTTCCTTCAGCTATGCAACTTGCACTCTTCAGTTGCCTTCAGCATGAGCAGATCTCGCACAGATTCGCTCGCCTTGATCTGCGCTTGCATATTTGTGCCTGCCCTGGAAGGCAGGTTCGCAAGTGCTGCGAAAGTCTCCTGTCAAATTAAGAACAATAAGATGGCAGCCCAGTCCATGCACCTTGAAAATTAGGAAGCTGCGGGCCTCTGTGGCATCTCCAGGGTCGTTCATGGAAGATAACATCATCTCCGGGACGAGCTTGGGGATGTTCAGCGCGACAATCTGCCAGATGGTTTGCTGGACCATTTGCTGCAAAGCCACTGACTCCCACGGTCTCCATCCTTCCCGCCCCCTCCCATCCCTCCCCGTGTGGATGTCCGCAAGGCTTTTGCGACTAGGTTTGTCTGAAAGCGCTCTCCCCTTCGTTCACTTGTCAGTGGCCGGTGCATAAGACCGGGGCGTACACCCTAAACCCTAAACCTTGCACCCATTATAGTAGGTTTCATTTTATTTTCCATTATCCCAATATGCCAGTTTGAGGAGTACTTGCCGAATTGTAGCCTACCAGGTAGCCTCGATTCTACATGACAATGAGCCATTATATAGGGATAATATAGGATAATATAGGGTTGTATAGGTATAATGGAAAAGAAAATGGAAACCACTACATTATAATAGGGTATATTTTGGAGGTATATAGGGGTTATACTCTATGAGCCCTTGATCCGCTGCAAGCTGCACCAAATCCCTAAGGCCTAAACCCTAAACCCTAGACCCTAAACCGCCTTGTCACCAGGCTGAGCAATGTCAATCGCCTTACGCATGGCCTGCTTGGCACCCGAGATATCCTGCCCAGGATGCCAGATTGCGGGGGTTTAGGGTTTAGGCTTTGGATTTAGGGTCTAGGGCTTAGGGTTTAGGTTTTAGGGTGTAGGGTTTAGGGTCTAGGGTTTAGGGGGCTGTAATTTGGCAAAAGATGTTACCAGCTGACCTGCAAGTCTAGCGCAAACAAAACAACCTCGTAACGTCTGCTCTAATCAACTCACTTGACAGCAGCTGAGCTCATGAAGGGCCTTGATGCTGATGCCCACCATCATCTTGGTTGAACGGGCAATCCTCCAAAGATGTACTATATATTGGGGTAATATGGGGAATAATGGAAAAGAAAATGGAAGCTACTGTAGTATATCTGGGTTATATAGGGAACATGGCTTTGGGTATAGTATAAAGAACCAATGGGCTTCAAGAACTTGTGAAGATTCCAATGCAAAACGCCCTCAGCCGTGGTACGAGCGCACCCAGTAAGTATGGCCGGTCCTGGACACAAACATCCTTACCAAAAAAGTGAGGAGCCTAGCCGCAAGCTCCTACGTCTACATCTGGTGTCTCAAGCCACATGCTGAGATGGCAGATTCCAAGGAATCTCGAGGATGCAGCTGAATTCTCTGAGCTTCCAACCCTCCACCTGCTAAGTCAAAGGAAACATGTAATTTTTTTCACCTCAACACGTGAGGCAACCAAAACTGTCCAAAGCCCCTTCGAACACCTGTTGATATGGAACCTTCAAGGTGTCAACCCTAGAGGCTTCACGCACACTTTTGGAATGCGATGCGGAGATGGTGAGCGAACGGCCCAAGCCAACTGTACACGACAGGCAGATGTGAGGCTGCATGCATCGCTCCAGGGCACCCTACGTGGCACGTTGTGGAAAAGCAACTATGGCTGCGGCTGGACATTTTAGAAGAACAAAAAGCATCGACGGGCACACATCGGGCACACGACTCCCAATGAAGGAGTCAGTGGAGTGGTCACCACTACAAGATTGCTACAAGATCTACCGATACCTCGAGCCGGGCGGCGGCATCCCTGCACAGTCTTCAGCCTCCTTGGGCTGAAAGTTCACGAGCTGAGGTATCCGTACCCGTTTCGCCGAAATACATCCTCATCACACGTGTAGACGAAGCACGCAAACAACAGCTCTGCTTGCTCACCAGAAATGCCTGCTGCGGTATTCGAACCCTTTGAGAAATTGGACTATTTGCTGCCAGGGTTTCGACGGCGCGAATGTCATGGACTCAAACAAGCCCGCTTCACTTCGCTTGGACTTGGGTGGCAGCGACGGCAGCGCTTTCTGGAAGGGCTTTACATCTTGTCCATCAACGCTGACATTGCTGTTCTCGCCTTGCAGCATGGGAAGTAAGCAAGCTAGGTACCGCCCCGCTCGGGTTCGTTCAATCCACCTCAGCTAGGGAAGCTGGCAAGCTAGTTTGAAAGTGAGAACTGAGAATGGAATGATGGAACCCAAGCAGGCCTTCAGCAATTGGCGGCAAGCCCATTCTGGCGTCCTGCAACCAATCGTGCGCGAGCGCCTCCTGACAAGTCTGGAGCGAATTTTGGAACTATCTAACACCAAACACATGTGTCAGTCTTCACTGCCTGCCTGCACCAATATCCTGGGCATCTACTCCTGACTTATGTCTTGACAAACTTGCCAACCCTGTTTTCTGGCCGAGCATCAACAGTTGTCAACCGTGTGTCTGGGTTCTTGTCCAGCAGTCCCTGCCGCAGCCCAGGCGCTGGAAACTGTGATGTGCGCTGGCTGCAACGCTCTTGACATGCTCATTCCCCTCAGAGGGTGCCTTTCTACGGTCCATAAATTGGTCTTGAGGAATAGGCCCCTACAACTGTAGCTAGCGCCCACGGAGAAAGATGAATTCAACCAGCACAGAACTCCAAACAGCTTTAGCACTGACAGCGAAAATTCTAAGAGGGGCTAGCAACAGAAGCAGTAAGCGCCATGGCACTGGCCTGCAGGTCGCGCAGTTTGCAGTATCTGTTATTTCGCTAGTCCCTGTTCTGCTGTCATAATTTCTGCAAAGACCAATGAATATGCCTGAGAAAGCGTCTTTTCCCGAATGCATAGCAGAAGGGTTCCCGTTTTCAGGTTGGGGTCCAAGGGTCCAGGAGGCGACGCGAGGTCGTTGCGTTTATGTTCGCCAAGCGTCTGCAAGCGTCCGCAAGCGTTCGC